GGAGTTCCCCAGCCTGTAGGTACGGTGCTGGTTGTTCCTCCCCAGGTGCATCACCTTGCACTTGTCGGTGTTGAATCCCATCCTATTCTCATCCGCCCACCTCTGTAACCTGTCTAGGTCTGATTGCAGCCTATTCCTCCCTTCTAGCATGCCCACATCCCCCAACATCTTAGTGTCACCAGCAGATTTGAACAGGTGCTTTTTACCCCCTCATCCAAGTCGCTGATGAAGATGTTGAACAGTGCAGGTCCGAGGACCGAGCCCTGGGGCACCCCACTGCCCACATCCCTCCAGGTTGAAAATGACCCGTCCACCACCACTCTCTGGGTGCGGCCCTCCAGCCAGTTGGCGATCCTGTCTCTGGATGATTTAATGATAGGTTCCTATGGGGCCTTGACTGTATCTTCAGCTTAGCTAGCCAAAGCTGGACAAAGGGTGGACTCTTATTAACTAGCAGTCTGATGTCTTAGGGAGAACTTTGCTCCTGGCATAAAGAAAATTGCACACACTGAAAAGCCACCTGGTGTGCAAGGCATTAGGACAACCCATGTGTGCCTCTGGCTCTTGCCCTCCTGGTGTTGTCACGTTTGCAAGTCCCCTGTGCACGTTACCACAAAGGGGCAATCGCAACTTTGCACTTCAAGCTCAGCACGAGCAGTCCTTTCCCTTTCCACAGTTAGTTTCCTTAGTGTAATGAGTAATAAGCATGAAGGAGGCAACTGAGATGTGGGGAGGCCTGAGCACTGTAGCTGCTAAGGAAGTGATTTGCCTTCGTTTATTTATTGCTGAGGGAAATATTGTCTAGCCCAGGGGTGGCTAACCAGCAGCACGAGTGCCATAAGTGGTACGGACAGCCCCTTTGCATCAAATCATAGACAATGAGGGCGGGAAGGGACCTCAGGAGGTCACATCTCTCCAACCCCCTGCTCCAAGCAGGACCAGCCCCAACTACATCCTCCCAGCCAAAGCTTTGTGGAGCTGGTACTTAAGAACCCCCAAGGATGGAGGTCCCACAACCTTCCTGGGTAACCTCTTCCAGTGCTTCACTACCTTCCTTGTGTGAAAGTTTTTCCTAATACCTAACCTCAACTTCCCCTGCTGCAACTTGGGCCCATTGCTCCTTGTTCTGTCATCTGCCACCACTGAGACCAGTTCAACTCCATCCTCTTTGCAGCTACTCTTCAGGGAGTTGAAGGCTGCTATAGAAAGGCTGCAGGGCACATAGACGACCGGGGAGGGGACAGATAGGGCAGGGAGCAGCAAGCAGAGCAGGACATCAGGCAGGGAAAGGCAATCAGAGGGGTGCTCAGAGAGGGTGTGGGGCTAATTTGTGGCATGCCTGACAAAAAGGTTGGACCCACTGAGCAGAAGTCCAGGGGTTAAGAGCTTCTGGCTTTAGCACGGTCTTCTTCTTTCTGACTCAGTTTCCCCAGCTATTTTATTCGCATTTGCCTGCTTCCTGGAGGAATTGTGAGCATTAATTAGCTGTGGTATATAAAGCAAATTAATATATTATAACTGCTACAGTGATATGTTATCATATCATTCTAATTATGCCATCATTAGACCCCCTGATCTTAGCAGTTCTCCCTGATACTGTTCACGGGGACAGCCAAGTGTCTGAGTAAGTGTTCATTTGTACCCCAAATTATGGTACAGGGAGTGGAAACATGAGATCCTTGTCTCTCAGCTCAGTGTTCGTGCCTGAAGCCCCTCAGATGAGGGGAGAGCAGGTGGAACAGCCTCAGTGTAGGCTTGAAGGCAGCTTGTGCGGCACGATAGGAACACGAGTCAGGCGCTTCCGGAGTTACTTGCAAACACAATGCCACCCATTCAGCAGCATGCTCTTGGCAGGGATACTCTGCATGGGAGTGCTTTAAGAGCCAGTAGCTTACCTGTGGTGGAGCAAATGGCTGCTGCCCACTGACACAGCATCTAAAGATGGAGGCAGATACCCGGGCCATAAAGGCCAAGGAAAGCCAAAGACCTGGGACCCAGAGCAGGTCACTTTAACACACTGGAACTGACTCCTGCTTTGGGAAAGGATGGACAACAACCTGAACTGCAAGGCAAGCGTCTGCCCTTGGGTGCAGAGTGATGGAGGTCTTGGCTGCAGTATCCTCCTTTTCCATGCAAGTGAAACTTAAAACACCTCTTAGCATTACTTCGATAATTTAATGTCCATCCTGAAAATAGGACTTTTCCTCTGAGGTTGGGTAAAGCTTGCTACACCCATTTTACAGTTGGGAAAACTGAGGCACAGATGGACTTACTCAAGGTCACACTGCAAGTTAGTTGCAGACCTCAAAGCAGAAACTAGGCATCCTGAATCCCAGCTCTTTGCTCTGGCTACAGGGCAACACTCCTTTCCTGGCCTGGCCTGTGGTACTATCTGGCGATAAAATGAAGAATAAAGGAAAGAAGGCAGTTGGGGGGAGGAGGAGTCGATGATTCATATGATCAGTCTTGGTCCAAGCTCTTCGATAGGGCATTGATAGAAAACAAACTGCAAGGCAAGCTCCAATCTTATCAAATGTAATAACTTCCTCCTTTGAATTCTTGGATTCTTTTAGTTGTTCAGATGATAATTATTGGCCCCTACCTGGCTCTCCTTGTCTTTCTTCTCTTGATACCTCTGGGGATGTACTCTCCCTGCATCAGAGAAGTGGGGACGCTGGGACCCAAGCCAACTCTCATCGGACACAGAGGCGCGCCAATGGTAGGTCTGGGGAAGGCGTTCTGTCTTGTTCTTGTATTAGGTGGATTGCAGCTGCTATTTTATTTTTCCCCCCCAAAAGCTTCATTGTGAGTCTGTGAGGGGAATACATTTGATTTGGAAAAGTCCTGCATGCTTTTCTTGCCAGGACTCAGCAGTGTCCGTATAGCAACATGGGCATAGGTTGTAGCTGTGTTTGTCTAAGGACATAGGCAGACAGGGTTCTTTGGCTAAATCTGATCTCTTTTATTAGAGCAATTGAAATAGTTGGAAAAATTCTGCTTTGCAAGCTTTTGGGTATTGTGCTGGATGAAGTTCAAGTATTGTGCCTGATGAAGGGTATATATACCTGCCAGCTTGCAAAGAAGAATTTTTCCAACTATTTGAGTTGGCCTATTATAGATATACCCAAATAACTTTGTTTGCCTACAGCAGTATGGCATTTCAGAGTCAAAGCCTACAGCCACTACAATGTTGCCTGCAGAAAGCAAAGGGGACAAGGGGTGGGACAAAGGGGTTCGAAATGGCTCTTGGGCAAAGGATCATGGAGCAAGCCTAGATTGTGGCAAAAGAGGGAGGCAGGACTGGAGGTAGAAGCTGGCTGAGCCTGGCAGGCGAGGAGCAGAAGCTAAAACTTTACGTGAAGGAAGATGAGAAGCCAATGAAGTGACTCCAAAAAAGGATAAGATGGGGGATAAGGATGTTTTTGGTGGCAGTGCGTCAGGCGGGATGGGCAGAGATGGGAGAGTGGAGGGCTGGGCTGGGAGGTGACTGTAGTCAAGGTAGAGAATGGGAGTCGCATCTTGGTGGCTGGGACTGCAGGGAAGAAAGCCACTGCAGCATGATTTGTTGAGAAGCTGGCTGTGAGCTGATGAGAGGAAGGAAACTAAATCAACCTCTATTTGCACAGCAGGAAGGGTGGATATGTTGTTAACAGCAGAGAAATGGAAAAGTGTGGGAAGGTGAGAAGGGAAATGAAGATCCATCTCAACACTGGAGGCTGAAGGAGGAACATAAAACATGAAAGAGTGCTCCCACTCTGCTTAAATATTGCTTAAAATTGTTTTATGGACTGAGTCTTTCCTTGCCCTCCATCCAGTTTTGAAATGATCTTGAATCTTAGAAGCTTTGATGGTACCTGAGCTGGAAGGAAGTGGAACAGGTTTTCACTTGGTGGCCAAAGTTACCTTTAACAAAATAATGATTTATTGCACGTACATGTTATCAAGCAACACTGCATCCTGAAGAGTCCTCAATACCTTCTGAACACAGCATGCCCTTGTGTCTTTTCTTACTAGGTGGCTCCAGAAAACACTGAGATGTCATTTCAGAAGGCCATTGAATATGGGGTGAATGGGCTTGAGACAGACGTCACAATTAGGTAAGGGGAAAGGCATGGAAACACATGCCTACATGCTTAATTTGAGCGGGAGTTTTGTAAAGGGCAAAAGTCTTTGTCATGGTGAACCCAGATTTGCTCTGCTGAAGTCCAAGAACCACCCCAGAATTACACTGGTGTAAGGAGGAGTGGCTCAATGTCGCCGCATGTTTATTCTCGGGAAGCCGGCCCTAAGATTGTTACATCCATTTTACAGATGGGGACACTGAGGCACAGAGAGTTGTGACTTCTCCAAGGTCAGCAAGTCATTGGCAGAGATCGGAATAAAATCTAGGCTTCCTGAGTCTCAGTGCAGTGCCCTGACCCACATTGCCTCCAATAAGGCCATATGGCCTTCTACTCCCAGCACGGTGATCTGTAGGGAGGCTGCTGTTCACATCACTTGCATGTAATTGGTTACACTCCCTGTACAAAGCTGTCCGCCCAGTGAACGGTCCTCTCTCTTTGCACTAGTTATGATGGGATTCCCTTTCTGATGCATGACGGCAGCTTGAAAAGGACCACAAACATCCAGGAAGTCTTTCCCCACAACGCTACACAAGATGCAGCCATGTTTTCTTGGGACGTCCTAAAAGACCTGAATGCTGGGAAGTGGTTTTTGGAGGTAGGACTTGCTGAAGGGCTTTCCTCAAGTCCCTGTGTTGGACAGGGTGTGGCTGAGGACGGGCACCCATCTTACTCCCACTACAGTCAATGGAAGTGTTTGGATGTGGCTTAATAATTATGCAGAAGCTGCAGGTCTTTGCTCACGGGCTCCCTTGACACCGTGGGCCATGCTGTGCAGCTCTACCCTCTGGGGCAAGAAGCCAGAGGAGGGAGCCTGGAGACCCCAGCTGCTGCTGAAGCCAGAGGAATGGGAGGAGAGCAGCAGCCAGGGTGAGCCTGGGGGGCGGTCACAAATCAACTCCTCATGGGCTGCCAGTTGGACAGCCTTGGCCAAGGGTGTGCCTGAACTGCAGTCAGAGTGACAGGATGCAGTGGGCACGTAGCTGAGTTAAACTAATGAGCAGGGTTCCCGGTAGCCATCTACTCACAGCCATGCTGTGGGAAACTCTTTGAGAAGATCATCAAGGAGCACATTTGT